GCTCACTTGAGGGGGTATCACATGCTGTGGTGGTGCTTCGTGCTGCATGTTTGCTTGTTGTTTGTGACTGGAGAACGTTGCTAGGTGGAGGATGTGGGCGTGGATGGTGCTAAGGGAGGGAATCTGCATGCACAAGTGCTTGTGGGTGTGTGGACCTTCATGGTAAATGCGATGTGTGTGCTTGTATGCGTCATCTGTGGGTGTAGTGGTCATTCATCTACAGTGTGGGCTGTCTCATTTGATGCAATGGGGAGTCACATGGTGTCATGCAGGTGAGTGGTGTTCATCCAACTCCGCATCTCAAGATGTAGTTGTGGTCTTTTTTTTTTTTTTTTTTTTTTCCCCGCTTGTGAAATATGCTGCTACTTAGCTCTACTGCTCACATTGGTCATTCCTTTTTTTTTTGTTTTACACTTTATTATTCCTGAGTTGTGTGTTCAATTCCCTCCTTGCCAGGGTTCCTGCCAAGCAGACGGCTTCTCTAATTGTTCCTTCCTTCTATCCCCCCCCCCCCACCAAAAAAAAAAGAAAAAAACAAGAAAGAGATGCACATGTTTATCAACTTCTATGGCTCACTTTTTTCTTTGGCTTCTCGTCTGCATCCTGGACTCCTCTCGTTTTTCTTTTTCGTGTTCGGAGTATGGGTTGGTTGGTAGGAAATCTGGGAGGCAGATTTTCTAAAATATGGTAAACGTTTTTCTGCTATGCCCATAACTGATGAAGGAAGCAAATACGAGGGAAGGAGAGATGCAGAAAAAAAAAGAGATGAAGGAATGGCAAATCAAAGGCTGTCTCATTGGAGGTCAAATCATTTAACCACCAGTGTACTTTTGAAGTTCTGACCCTTCCCTTGGGAGCCTGGAAACGCCCAGCATGCCAAAAAAAAATCAGACTGGCACTGGCCTTCTTTTGGATGGCACCGCCTGCCCTTTTTCATCAGGTAGGCCACCCCCCAGGAAACTCGGGGCCGCATGCACACCGCCCTGGAGCAAAATGGCTTGCAAACTAGTTCAATGAACCACTTGTATTGTCACTTCAGGCATATGCCTCATGAGAGTTTACACAAAATCCACACCGAAGTCCAGAGATGGAGAGACCAGATTAGCGCAGCTCATAAACTTCTGCGAGGAATGAGCCTCGCGGGGCCCTTATCAGAGCATGCACATGTTTTGGGCAGATGCCCCCAACAAGCAAGGTGCCCGCCCTAAGTGAAGGCAGGCCTGAATATTCATGAGAGCCCAAAATTCGACATTTTTCATATGTTGGTACTCAGGCTGTTACAGCCCGCCAGTTGGTTGAGTGGACACGTGAGCCTCCCTAAGTTGCGTCGTACAGTTTGGCGCAGACCGTGGCAGTTGCGCCTGGGCACATACACACAATGCAGGGCCGATACATCACGAAGTGGCTACAGGCGTACACAAACGCAGCTCTGTCGACGTACATACCCCGGGTCCTGTGCAAATGCAGGAAACGGCCCGAGTCTGGAGACTCGGGCCGTGTCCAACTGTAAAGGGGCCCAGGCCCTCAACTGTAGCACTGGGCCTGGGAGCAGGTACTGGGGCCCAACCGGAAGCTACTGGAAGCTTCCAGCCAGGCCACACACAGCCAAGCAGAGGCTGCCACTTCCATATAGGAAGGAGGGCAGCCAGGGCCTGGGTATTTGGGCCCACACAGGCAATGCAGTCACGCTGCTGCGCTGAGGCCAGAACGCGTGCGGGTGCATGTGTGGTGAAGAGGGGCGTTGCTGGGCAGCGGAGCGCAAGCAGCCATAGCCGGGCTGCAGGGCGCTAGGGGGTAAGAGGGCGATCGGTGGTCTTCAGGAAGGAGGCGAGTGTGGGTGGACAGGGTCTGATGAGGGGAAGCGATGTTGGCGCGAATACCCTTACAAGGGTATCCGCCCTGGTTTTTGCAAGCGTCAGAAAGTAAGTTTGGTTGGGTGCGGCTGTGTCTGCGGATTACGTTGACTGGGTGGTTGACTAAAGTAGAGAGTATGTGGGCGCACAAACTTAAGGCGCGCGTGATCCTTTCTTTTGTTGATGATTGAAAAGCCGGCGTAGTGGCGGCCAAATTTTTGGTTCTGGTTAAACTAGGATTAAAATATACTTTATTTTTTATTGATATATTTGACCGTGACAAGTGTGTACGTACGGAGGACGACGTCGATGAAGGCACGGTTCTGTATAGCAGCGCGGTGGACGCGGAAGGTTCAATGGGTGTGGGATTAGTTAGTAGACCGAGACGTGGCTCTGGGACGTTTCAAATTTTCAGTAGACTGACATGCCATGTGGTATCCGCTTATATAGGTGTTTGCTAGTACTAGGCTCAGCCTT